GCCTCCCAGTACGCCTGAGCCCAGTGCCGGAGCCGACGTAGGAATGGGCGGAACGCCGCGTCTCCGGACGCGAAGAGAAGCGCCTCAGCGGCTTGAGCGAGGTAGCGCCACGGCGGAGTCGCGTATAGCGCGTCCACGTTGGCCAGAGTCACGAGGGCGCGGTTCCAGTTCGCAGGCGCGGGGGGAACACGGCGCCGAATGATCCAGCCGGGCGGCGGCAGGAAGAGCGTTCGCAACTCCTGCACGGTGATGAGATGAAGGTGGAGACGTCGTACCCGCTTGGGCCAAGGAGCGTAGCGAGGCTGCCGCCAGCCAGACGGAGTTCCGGCAGGCGGAATCACAGGGTCGAAGAAGGGCGCCGCCGGAGCACTCCCCGCCGAGCCGCTGGAGGCGGTGCTCGAGGACGAGGCGCGGGGCGACGAGAAAGCGGACGAGGCGTTGCCACTGGAGTAGCCCGAATCGCCCGGACCGGTGCCTGGTCCAGCTCCGGCTGCCGCACGGCCCCTCGACGAGGAGTGCGTCGGCCGTGCAGGAGAAGCGTGACGCGAGGTCGCCGACCCCGCCGAGTGCGCCGACCCCGCGGCGTGCGCCGAACGCGTTGAGCCGGCTGAACGCGTCGATGCCAAGGAGGGCGAGCGAGAACGCGAGCGCAAGCGTGGAGGTGAGTGCGAACACGAACGAGAGGCCGAGCGGGAACGCGAACGCGAAGCAGAACGGGAGCACGGGGGTGTCCGGGAACGTGACTGTGAACGTGGAGGCGGACGCGCCGGCGACCGTGAGCGAGACCCGGGGCTATGCAGCCGGCGCCGCTTGGACTGAGCTCGCCGCGCTTGGTCCTCGCTGTCCGAAGACTCGGAGCCGAAGAGCGACGCGTCCTCTCGTGCGCGCGCTGCAGCTGCAGCGGCCGCAGAGGGCGTAGCTGCAGATGAGGCCTGCGCAGCGGCGTTGTCGGAGGCCGCAGTGTCGGCCACGGTAGAGAGCCGTCGACTACGTCGAAGGGGCGAAGAACCAGACGACGTAGCGGACGCCACTCCTGACGACCTAGACGCGTGTGACTGAGAACCCGAACGACTCGACGCGCCGTGTCGAGGTCGCCGAAAACCCGACGAGGACGAGGCAGCGGACGAAGTCGGAACAGGACGGGAGCCCGAAGGACCTGCTGGAGGGCAAGCGCCAGTCGTCGAGCCCGCCGTCGAAGCCGACGTGCCCGCCCGGGCACCAGAGCTCGACGCAGTTGGAGCAGGAACAGGAACAGCGGATGCCACAGGAACTGCTGCGGACGTAGGAATAGCAGGGGGAGGGGGATCGCACCTTCGATCTCCGCCGTGAAAGTAGCTTCGAGTCGCCTGACCAGGTCACTGGTGTCGATCTGCCCGCCTACACTCGTTACGACGCCGGCGAGACGATCAGCAAGCTCGTCGCGCACCCGCCGCGCCAGCTCTCGGCCCCGACGCGCGTCTCGAAGCATCCGACGCCAAGCCACAGCGCGTTCGTCGCGCTCTCGGATGGCCAAGTCGCGCTCCTCCTCCAGCTCGGCGACGCGAGCGCTGAGACGATGGGTCTGGGCACCGACTGCTCCTCGACGCTGCTGAGACGACCGCCGCATGGACAGCCACCAAGCTCGATACTGCGCCGCGCGAGATGTGGCGCAAAGTTCGCCGGCTTGAGCCCGCGCCATCTCGGACTCGGCGGCCACACGGAGAGTCGTAGCAGTAGCCACTGACTCCTCCAGCTCGTGGATACGCGTCGCGCCGCGGCGGAGCTCCTCGGTGTGGGCCACTAAGAGCGCGTTGACGCGCCGAAGGTCGTCCTGCAGCGGGACGTTCAGGTTCTGGGCCGCCTCGATCTCCATGCGGCTCTGAGAAAGCGACGCACGGGCCGCGCGGAGCTCTTCGTCGACAGGGGCGCGCTGATGCTCCAGAGCGGTCAAGGCCTGACGAGCCTGATCACTCTCGGCGACGGCAGCGTCTCGCCGCTGCTCAAGGGCGGCCACGGCTTGACGTGCCCGGTCCCTCTCGGTGACAGCAGCGTCTCGCTCGCGTCTCAGGGCCGTGGAGGCGCGACGCACTTGATCTCGCATGTCGAGGGCCCCGTCACGCTCTTGCTCGACGACCATGAGAACGCGGGTCACGCGGTCACGCTCGGCGAGAGCGGCGTTGCGCTGCTGCTCGGCAGTGGCCACGAGCTGCCGCATGTGATCTCGTTCAGCTTCGGCGGCGGCCACGCGCGGTTGGACAGGAGCGAGGGCGACTTGGGCGGCTGCGAGGTCGACGCGAAGGTCGTAACGCTCGGCGCGCGCGTCGTCGCGCCCGCCTTGTGCAGCAAACAGCCGTGCTAGCGACACGTTGGAGGGAAGCGGCGTAGCAGGAGCGCGCGCGAGTTGGGCAGTCAAGTCAGTGACCTGGTCTCGTGCCCCCCGGAGCTGAGCTTGAAGATCACGATACTGCTCTGTCGAGGAGCCTCGCTCGGCGCAGAGTAGAGCCTCGGCAGCGTCGGCGCGCTCAGCACGAGCGCGGAAGTCGGCCACTCGGTCCTCCAGGACGGCGTAGTCCCGCTCGGCGTGCTCCTGGGAGAGGAGCGCCTGCTCGAGCCGGATCATGCCTGCGCGATAACCCTCGCGAGCACGATGCAAGATCGCGAGATTGAGGTCATGCAGCACGGACGCGTGAGTAGCCAAGCCCGCATTGTGCGCTGAGACGAGTTCGTACTGGGCGCGCAGCTCCTGGTTCTCGCGCTGGAGAGTGTGCGCGTCGGCGACAAGAGCAGTCACCGAGTGGACGGGGGCGCCTGAAGCCGGAAGCTGGACTTGGGGCACGACGGGGAGGCGAGGACGATGCGCGCCGAGGGCACAAACCGCGCAGCCAGCGGCCTCGAGGTCGTCGGTGTCAAGCTCTTCTTCCTCCAGGTCGATGTCGTTGACGTCGACGTCGCGGCGGCGAGCCATGAAGCTTGGAGTACCGCGAAGCGGACTGCGAGGGCAGAAAACGCGATGGTGTCGAGACGAAGCGAAGGCGCGGGGCAGGTTCTGCGACGACACACCCACCTGGGGAGTGCGCGTGCGTGGCAGCGGGACCAATATGGTGTAGTACCCCGCGGAAGAAGTGGGCGCGCCGGGCGCCGGAGGAAGAAGGCGCCGGGACGCGAGTGATGGACTTCGACGCGGCTGATGGAACGCGACGCGGATGGATGGGCGCGACGCAGGGCCGAGCTCGACGGGAAAGTCGGCGTGGGTGATGGGCCGTGAGACACGGTGCCAGAATCCAGTGCGATGCGTAATCATCCGACGGGTCGACCAGCGCGCCCGGTTCTGTAAAACGCGCCGACCCTAAACCCCGCCGAGCAAAACGCGCCCTAACCCCCGCCGACCAAAACGCGCCGAGGTAAGATCTTGATTGCGCCACGTAAATCAGATTGAAGCACGGTAGTGCAAGCACGACAGAAGTAAGGATAGGCACAGAACGGTAGGCTTAGCAAGCGGTAGTACAGAGTAGCCAGTAGCAAGGACATAGGATAGGGTAAGGACTCAGTCCCGAAATTTATCTGAACCACAAAGACCTCCCGTCTTCTCCGAGGTTCCAGGGGAACCACCAAGCGCCGGCAAGTAGAGCCGCCTCGATATCGCGGCCCCCCGTCGTTTGCTGGTTCGGGTGCTCACCCCCCACAGACCCGTGCTGGAACAAAGGCACGTTAAACGTATACCGTTTAGGTGGGCGCCCGATAACGCGGTGCCTAGGCGAAGGACCGCACTGGCCTGATAACCGCCGTGTACAAGACCCCCGTGTAGGCCCGATAACGCCACAAAAGCCCCAGGAAACGCCGGCCCGATAACGCCGCACGACCGACGCGAACGCCGAGGCAACGCCGGCCCGATAACGCCGCACGCCCAAGGCTCGACGCCCTACGACAAGGAACAAGCGTCAACACAAGAACCCCCAACTCCGAAGCCTGCGAAGACTTGGGCCTGTATTTCGAAGATACGCTACTCCAACAACCGGGAATAATTTGCTCGGCGCGACCGCTATCCAGACGCGCCGAGTTTGTGCTAGATCGCATTCGCGAGATTTCTGCGAGGGCGCTACTCCACAATCTTGTGATATAGTGAGAGGTGACGCTCCACGTATATGGTTTAATTGGTGTACCGGCTGTATGGCCGGCACTGGCTGTATGGTCGTGGGTGACTGTATGGTCGACCCGGACTGTATAGTCAAAGTTAGCTGTATAGCTGTAGGTGGCTGTATGGCCGACCCGGACCGTAAGGTCAAAGTGCCAGCGCAAGCGGCGCTGGCTCCGCTGGTGCCCTTGTACCTACCTGGTGAAGTCGGTGTTCCGGTGGTGGAAGAGGTCGGAAAAAGGGCAAAACAGGTGCTCTCACGGAAAATTTTCCGCTCGCGCGCCGAAAGTCGCCCGAGAAGTTCGCGTTTGACGAGCCAGCTTCCAGTGACGACATCTCCGACGACTCCTTGAAATGCATCACAGTGAGCCCACGTGACCCCAGGCGACCACTGAAGATCGCCATCAGCACCGCAGGAGTAGCTTGAAACTTTACCGCCTCCAGCTCCCGCATCCATAACACAAACGACATCGCAGACAGGGGCGTACCTGTCTCCGTGCCGACTGCGCGGAACATCCGGCTCGCCGCCAGATGATGAGCTTGCGGTGGGTTGTAGTCGCCCTTCGCCTTTTTCGCACCTTCGGGGAAGCTTGATGTCGTCAGGTACCGCATCTCCGCCGGCGGCATCTCCCCCTTGTTGTTAGGAGCCGTGGGAGCCGAGGGGTCTGCATGCAGGCGTGACGTGACGCGACAGGGAGCTGAGGAAGCCCTTGCCCGGCCACCAGCGCACGCAGACGTTCCACCTCATCTTGCAGCTCTTGCAATTGCGCACGAACAGCAACGCCGTCCTGAGGGGCGATGTCGTCGGTCGCCACCGAGGCTTCGTTGGGGGTCGTCGCGAAAGCCGTGCTCCCATCGACGGGCGCAACAGTCGCCTCGAGCGCAGTGCCAGGCGAGAAGGAGGCCATGAAGGAGTTCAGGTCGAAGCCGCTGTCCGATCTCGGCGTCGGCACC